AACCAACCCGATTGTTTTGATCCTAGCAACAGGTGCAAAAACTTCGCCAAAGTCAATTCCTTCTTTCTGAAGAAATCCTTTCACCACAAGTCTTGCCTTGTGCCGAATTACTTTTCCTTTGGGATCCAGCTTTACCTTGTATAGCCACTTCACATTGATTGCCTTCTTGCCTTGAGACAATTTGAAAAGTGACCAAGTGTTGTTGACTTCGATGGACTCTAGTTCCTCATTCATTGCTTTCTTCCAGTTTGAATCTTTTAATGCCTTAGCTGCATTGACTGGTTCGACATCTGCATAGAAAGCATAGTGTACCAGCTCACCTTCTTCATTTACCACATCATCTGATGTAACCACACATTCTTGCAACCTTGCAGGCATGTGTCTTGTTCATTGAGGTCTGCTTGGACCTGCTTCACCTATGACTTCTTCTTGTCAAACTTCTCTTTTGACTTCACTAGCTGGTTCTTCACATAAGATTATCATTTAATCTTTCTTAACATTCTCAGTCCAATCCCAATCTCATTGTTTAAGCTCATTTATGATCACGTCCCTACTGATCACTACTTGCTTGTTCACTAGATCAAACAACTTGTATCATCCAGTCAAATAATATCCTATCACGATCATTTGACTCGACTTGTCATTAAGTTTTCTTCTCAACTGATCTGGCACATGTCTATGTGCTATAGATCCAAACACCTTCAAATGACTTAGACTAGGCTTGACACTAGACCAACACTCTTCTGGTGTAATTCCTTCTAGCCTTTTCTTCGGACATCTATTCAAGATGTATGTTGTAGTCGACACAGCTTCTCCATATTTGTCTTTCAACATACTTCTCACCATATTTATAATGGTTTTATTCTTTCTTTCTGTAGTTCCATTATGCCGTGAAGCGTAGGGTGGCACCATCTCATGCATAATCCCTTCTTTTTCACATAATGCATCAAAATCTTTCGACACATACTATCCACCACTATCAGTCCTTAAAATCTTTATCTTTCGACCACTTCGTCTTTTGACCATATTTAAATTTGAAAAATACCTCGATCACTTCACTTTTCTTCTTGATCAGGTAAGTCCACAATTTTCGACTGAAGTCATCTATGAAAGTGAGAAAGCATCTGTTACCTCCAATTGAATCCACTTGGATAAGACCACATACATTAGAGTATATGACTTTAATAATTTCCTTTGACTTGCTTCCAGCATCCTTGTTGAAGTTATTCTTGTGTTGCTTTGCTTGCACACATTCTTCACACACTTCATTTGAAATGTCAATTTCTGGTAATCCTGAAACTATATTTCTTCTCTTCAAATATCTGATATCTTTAAAGTTGAAATGGACAAGTCTATATTGTCATATCCATTCATCCCTGCTAGCTGCAGTTGCAAGACACTTATCCTTCATCACATTAAGCTCAATTTTAAATGTTCTATTCTGAGACATTTGAGTCGAGAACTCTCATCATCTTATCTTCAATCGACACCTTGTAGTTCTTTTTGACCAACTGCCCTATTCTGAGCAAATTGCTCTTCCTTCCTAGTATGTATAACATATTGGAAAGTACTGATCTTTTGCCATTTTTTCTCATTATCAGAACATCACTGATACCTTCAACTGCTAGAGTATTGTCATTTACAAATTTCACCATGTTCTTCATTGAGGATTTTATGTTGACAAATCAATCTTTACTACCAGTCATGTGTGATGAGCATCATGACTCCAAGTACCATTGATCCTGAAATCTTTCTTCATCTCTTGTTGTGACCATCAGCAACATCTCTTCTTCTTCTTCATGTTTTGCTAGCTTTGCATCAGTTTCTTGATTCTTCTGCTTTTCAGGACAATCACTAGAATAATAATGACCATACTTCTGACAATTGTAACATTAAATGTGATTTTTCAAGTTTTCGACCACCACCTTTTTGGTTGATTTGGTATGAGGACTTTCTCTGATTCAACTTGCCTCCTTCTAGATGATTTCGACTAGTCAAATTGTTATAGCCTTCTCTGCTTTTGTTGTCACTCCAACTTCATTTGCCTTTCTTTTCTTTTGTTGATTGTGCCTACAAAGCCACATCATTCTTCGACTTTCCTGCAGCTCTTTTAGTCATTCTTTGTTCATGAGATTCAAGTGTCCCTTGAAGCTCTTCCTTATCCAAAGTTGATAAGTCTTTCGACTCTTCTATGGCTATTACCACGTGGTCAAACTTTAAAGCCAATGACCTCAAGATCTTTGCAACAACTGATCTTGATGTCAATATTTCTCCACATACCTAGATTTGATTCACCAGTTTTCTAACCCTAATGAAAAAATATGTTATGCTTTCATTGTCTTCCATCTGAAACAATTCATAGGTTCTTTTGTGAGTTTGTAACCTCACCTCTTTCACATTTTCTACACCTCCAAACAATTTCTCTAGAATTTCTCATGCTTCTTTTGATGATTCTACATCACTAACCTTTTCAAAATTATCTAGATCAACGCGTTGAATTATAAAGAAAGTTATAATTTTTCTTCTTCAATTCTTTGTGTGTGGCATTTTCTTGATCCGACGTATTTTTTGCAAGCGGTGTTACTCCTTCCTTCACAAGATCCCAAAGATCTTGATAAGAGAATACAACGTCATCTGCTTGCACCAATTCTCATAATTATTATTCTTGAGAATCAGAAGACTCGCCGAAAAATGCCCGTTTGAATGAATCATTGTTATCGTGGTTTTCTTCCCACGAATCGCTCAGCCAGTACTCTAGATATCGAATGTTGGAAATCCACCACAAGCTATGGAGAATTTCTATCAATCTTGATGAACAAGATTGTTATCGATACATAATAACAAAGAAAAAAAAAATTAGAATTTGATAAAATATAAAAGAATATGGTGATTTCTGTAGAGTAACTCTCTCTCTCTCTCCCCACAAATAGTGAAAAACTTATTCACTTTATAACAGTTAAATTTTGTGAAGTCAAGTTATTACAAGAATAAGAGTCATCCTTTTATTTATAGTTTTAAATTAGCTTACCTCCCTAAGTCAAAGTCCAAAATACAAAAATTCAAAATATACAATTTAACTATCACTACTTGTTCCGGCCTGAGCCCCGGCCTGGCAACACGGGCCCAGTCCAATAATATCCCGCCAAGCCCAGTCCAGCCTGGGTCACAGCGTCGGGCGCAGGTCCCGCCAAGCAGGGAATGTCCCCCGCGGGCAGGACCCGCCCAACTACGTCAGACAGGAGACTCCCCCGTCGACCAGACACTGCCCCGTCGGGCAGAACCTTCTCCCTCTGCGGGCAGAACCTGCTCCCTCCGCGGCAGAACCTGCTCCCTTGTCGGGCAGAACCTTTTCCCTCCGCGAGCAGAACCTGCTCCCTTGTCGGGCAGCACAACGTGTCCTTCACACATTCTCCACGTGCTCCCCTCTGCGGGGACACGTCACCAACTAACTGTCCACCTCCGAAAGAGCAGGTCAAATCCACTTTCCAGAGATCAAGAGACAGTCGGACTAGGACGAAGACCACGTCCTAGTCTTCACTACGCCACGTAAGCCCTAGCAGTCACCTGGGTTGGGCCTGGCAATCCAACCCAACGCAAGTGACCGTTGGCCCAGCGCTAGGGTCTCTCTATAAATACCCTCTTTCACAAGAGGGTCAGGTAATTCACTTCTTACCCCTTTTTCTGTGTTTGTGACCACTCTGTCCATATACTCGCTTTGGCATCGGAGTGCCTTACAGGTACACCCCCTCCTCATCATCATCATCGATGAACAGGCAGTAGTTCAACAGAGCGTGGCCAGACAGCGATCCCCTTCTGATCAGGTCAGATCACTACTAAAATAGATTTAAATCGAAATTCTGCCGAACAGTGTTTCGACAATTCGATACACACTAAGTTAATTTCAACAAATTCTTATTTATGTCGAGTACACTACCTACTTCGACACAAAGAATTAAGTTCTTTAAGATGAATCTATATGAAATCTTTGTGATGGGAATCGATGTATAGCAAAGTAAAAAGTCTTTAGAAGAAAAATATTGCAATTTTTGTTGGAAAGTTTGAAAGAGTCGGAAAACTAACGCTTCAAAAACACGAGAGAAATACACCATCCAAAACCTTGAAAAATACAAAGAAAATAGGTTATCCACTCCTATAAATCCAAGATACCATCTATTTCATAGATAATGTAAAACTTACACTCAATAGTTTTATAACAGCCTTATTGGTGCAGTGGATTGGTTTCTAGTGCATATGGCTAGTGAATTTGTTTCTGCAACTGAATAGTAAAGAAACTGCCTTCAAGAAGCCACGATCCATATCACATATTAATGTGTTTTGGTTTGACCATTGTATTTTCTTTGATTTATTCGCAGAGTTGTAGATGGGATCTGTTTTGAAATCCCTTACCGAGGCGCTAATTCCTAGATGCTTGGTAAAATTGGTGCACTGGACTGGTGCGTTGGATACATTGAAAATCTCAAGTGTTGAAGGCGGTGTGTAATTGCTGACTGGCGTACTAATTGTACAACGTGCTCTAATTTCATTTTGATCTTTTTAACAAAAAAAAAAAAGTACAAATGTTTTCAATTGAAGGCAACTAATTTCCCATGGCCTTATCCTTAATTCACACCACACCAAAACCAATTTTTCAATAAAAACTACTTAACCCATTCATTTAACTTTGGATAAAACCTACAACCTTCAATCACTTCATTATTACAGTTTCTCATCCTAAGCATTGAGATCTACCCCCTCATAACGCCAAAACAACTTGCTTCAACAGAAAAGCGAGTCAAAGCATTAAAAAAAAGAAACGAAGAAAGAAAATGTTTATTCTATTTTTTGAATTTGTAATACACTGAAACTAAATAACTGAATTAGTCAACAAGCACAACGAAAACGAGAAATTACAAGAAAACTCTGAAACCATCATCTACTTATTTTCATACTACGCCTCAACTGACTCTTGTTTTTTATTTACAAGACCACTTGCCACCAATCTACCTGGGCTGATGAATAGCCCGTGGGCTCACTCTGGGCTTAAAATTCTTCGGAGCCTTCTCCGCATATTTCGGAGCTTCGGCCCATCCACCAGATCCTCTCCATTTCAACGATCCCAACGACACCAACTCTTTCCCATCTTCGTGTTCTACACGCGCCAAAAAAAACACAAGATCCGTTAATCCATAAACAATTAAACTTTATTTAAATAAAAAATATGTAGAAATTAAATAAAAATAGCTTACGGTGTTCAATTTCATGGACATGGAAAAGATCGTCTTCATCCATATCAAAATCGGAAAACGCGTCGTTTTGGTTTTGTGGATCTTGGAAGCGTTCGCGGAGCCAGTAGTCGCGAAACCAGGGAGAGGATTGAACTAGGGCCCACCAGTCGTCGGAGAAATCTTCCACCGTGCGATAAGCTAGGGGAACGAACATCGGAGCGTTGGGATTCAACGAGGAGGAGTTTGTTCTTGTTGAAGAGAGTACTTCCATTGCTGTGGTTGGTGTGGTTGAAAACAAGATAAGGATAAAATGTTATGGAGAGAGAAAAAGAAAAGAGTAAAGTGTTTAACTAGTGTTGTTGAAGGTTGAATTGTTGATGCTTATCTTCGAACCTATGGGCACTATTTATAGGCGTATTTGAGATACTTGTATTCGAGATATTACTACTAGAAGCGGAAAGACGAAAGCGCCCTTCTATCCGTTGGTTTATTTTATTGTACTATATCAATTTTATGATAATTTATTATTTTTAATTTATTTTATTTGTTTTATTACTTTTTAAAAATTAATAATTTATTTTTGGATTTTACGTTTGAAATTATTTAAAAATAAATTAATTATTTACAATTATAATATACTAGTATAGATTTAGAATTAAATTTTAAGAAAATGATTAAATTGGTAAAAGTTTATTTGTTTTAGAAAAATAAAATAAAAAATTAGCTACATACCATTAACTTTAAAATTACTTATTGCATAGAATCTCAACACTCTGGTACACTTAATTTTAATTAAATTTGAAACATAACATTCAATCAATTAATGTATTAATGTTCTGGTATGTAACATTCAATCAAGTAATGTATTAATGTTATAGTATGTTATCTTTTTTATAAAACTTGCAAGTTACTTTCTTATTATTAATTAATTGGACATTGCTATCACTTGGATAAAAAAAGTATTTTTAGAAGAAGAGTGTCTTTTTATGGAGAAAATGAGACAAATATTAAGAAATAATTAAATTAAATATAAATGTTTAAATTCGATTGAATATTTTTTTTAAAAAAAAATTGTATATATTTTTTAGTAGAAAAAGAGGGTCAGAGTTCAAAGGCCCAAAACAAAGAAGAACTAGACAGTAAGTCTAATAGAGGAGTAACACAGTCATTCACCAACAATTGATTAAGATCGGCTGAGAAAACGTCCAACCAAATCTCATCATCTAATCTAAGCATATAAGATTGGCTAAGAAGTCAGCGCACTTGTTGGAATCTCGAATAACATGCTTGAAAATAACAGCCTCAAACTTTTGAGAGAGGAGAAGAATACGCCTAGCTAAAGATAAACCATGCTTGAGAGTCGGACCAGACCCAACAAAGGCATCAGCAACAGTCTTGTTATCCAATTAAACAATAGTCTTCTTGAAACTATTCTGCCAAGCAAAATCCAAACCAGAAAAAATTCCCCAGTATTCAGCAAAGAGATTATTACACTTACCAAGGAACTTTTGAAAACCACCAAACCACTACCCAAAGCTATCCCAGAAAAGGCCCCCGTAATTACATTAAGATTGCCATTACACGCGCCATCTAAATTGAGGTAGATCCAGCACGTAGGAGGAGGGCAGCACTGAATGGATATTGGATGATTAATCACTGGATGAGTTCTATGAATAAGACTCTTGCTAATTATGTAGAGAGAAACTTGCTTGCGAATTTCACTAACCAAATTGTGAGGAAAAACAAAAAAGGCGTCATGGAGTTTTGCATTTCTCCAGGTCCAAATGAGATGACAACTAGTGGCCCAAAAGTTGCCCAATCGGAAACAGAGTGATGAAGATGCTTAGACATATTTAGAACTAACCAATCTGGATATGAAACAGATAAGAAAGAATTTTTATTATCATTACTAACCAAATGAGACCATATGCTTTTGGGAGTTGAGCAATCCTTTAAAGCATGCAGAATAGTGTTCGGTTGATCACCACAAATATCACAAAAGTGGTTCTGCAGCTTAAGACAGATGAGGTAGACATTGTTGATGATTCTGTTGTGGAAGGATTTACAAATAAAATTTCTGATTTGTTCGGGGACTTGAAGCTTCCAAATAGAATCCCAGTGGAATTGAGAAGTATCTTCAGGGGAATTGCTTATACAAGAGTACAAACTAGAAACAGAAAAAATTCTAGAATTTGTTCCTCTTCATAAGTAGTTAACATAGATACCAATTGAAGAGATACGAGGTGGAATGACACGTAACTTGTCTAAGATAGACTGAAGGAAGATCCTGCGAAGCAAGTTCCAGTTCCAGTGACCCCTACTGGAAATGAGATCAATCACAATAGTAATAGTCATCCTAGAATCTTCTTGATGTTGAACATGGTCTATGAGTTGCACCTCCGAAGTGACCCACGCATCCTCCCACAAATTAATGGAAGCACCGTTGCCATCACCTTATCTAAGATTTTTTTTTCTATTGTCAATTGTAATGTATTCATTGTAAATGTCCGCCTTTATATATATATATATATATATATATATATATATATATATATATATATATATATATATATATATATATATATATATATATATATATATATATATATATATATATATATATATATATATATATATATATATATATATATATATATATATATATATATATATATATATATATATATATATATATATATATATATATATATATATATATATATATATAATCACTACTTTTTTTTAACAAAATATACAATCACTAAGTTGATCTTTTTAATTCTCTTTTTATTCCTCTCTTTTCCTATTTCTTATAGAGCAAGAAAACATGTGCTCAAACATATTTGGCATCTTAAGTATGATCATTGATTGTATAAAACACACCGATTCAAGATTTTTCGTCCATTATTAACCAAGTATAAATGGATGGTGGTAATGATTTTTCAAACACACTTACAATCTTTAATGGCAAGAATTAGGAGAGATGACAAAAACAAAATAAAAGTTTTGCTTAACTAGAAAGACACACTCGAAATAGTTAGAAATAAAGTTTAAGAACTCTGAGCAAATGCAGCTGAAGTAGAGAAGAATGTTCATAAGGAAGAGAATAAGAAAGATTACAAAGTTATATACTCAATACAAACAGTAGCATATGGTGAAAATTTTGACGAAATTTCTCATGTTGAGAATGAAAATGAGGCGTGGGATATCTTGATTAAATACTATGAGGGGTGTGACAAAGTGAAAGGTGTTAAGTTACAATTTTTAAGAAGATAGTATGAATTGCTGCAAATAGATAAGAATGAAAATTTTTAAACGACTTAAACACATTCCAAAGTTTGCACACACTTCTGCATGTCCAATATAGATTACACACATTTTTGTTCATCTGCTAAGACTTAAATACATTCCAAAGAGAATTTATGCATCACTGATACATCCTAAATGCATGAATACTTTTCTGATACAATCTAAACACATGAACACATCGCTGATATAACCTAAACGCATGTATGCGTCCCTGATACAGCATAAACGCATGAATGTATCGCTGATATAATTTGAATGCATGAATACCTAGTTTATCATCCTAAAAGCATTCATGTGTAGTTGTCTCATCTCCCCTTCAGATCTAGCCATCCAAGGGCATTATGTGATGGAGCCGGAAGACTTCCACCTTGATCCGAGCCAAACTTTGGTGGAAGAGATGGGGGATCCTACCCTTGGCCGGGGAACGATCATCTGTAATGCGGAGCACAAAACAAAGGTATGATTTTCGATTAACGATTAGGCTGGACCGTCGTTGTTAATATTTTGCTTTGGATCATTCTGTAGTATATATTATCTAGGACTAGGTATACCCTATAAGAACCAGAATATTCTTGATAATTTATTACTTAATTTCATCTGTAATTCTCTATGGACATAGGAATTAGGGTGGATGATTAAAGGTTTTCTCATTAAGGACTTAGGAGTAAACATTCTAAAGAATCAGTAATTAGTTAGTTATAATAAGTTGTTACAGTGTTAATTCATAGTTGTTACTGTGTTGGATCACACACTTCCCCTAGCATGTTACTCATATTTGTTGAAACCACTTAGTCAATTTCCCTCTTTTAATTGCAATCATTTTTATAATTAAACAAAACAATTTCAAAACCCCAAGCACTTTTGTTCAACTAAATTATTATAGGGCTTGTATTTCCTACGCAGTTCTCGAGATCGATATTCGGGGAATTTCCCTCGTATTACTACATTGGCAAAATAGTACACTTGTTATTTTGCCGATCACCAGTCCTCATGCAACGCACGAGATTTTCCATTATAATCAACTTATGATTACAACTGCTTATGCACTCAAGCACAAGATTTTTACTGCTCAGACCTACAGCCTAAGACTTATTGCTCAATCAACACCTGATCAAGACTTCTCTTCTTAGATCCTACGATCCTAAGACTTCCCTTGCTTAAACCCTCCTAGTTCAAGACTTCCTTGCTTAGACCCATCGTCTAAGACTTCTTTGCTCATATCCTCGATCCAAAACTTCACTGCTCAGACGCACCATCTATGTTTTCTTTGCTTAGATTCTCAATCCAATACTTCACTTGCTTAATCAAACTAGATCAATACTTTCAATGCTCAAGCATATAGTGTAACACCCCAAAATTGTCCCTCTCATTTTTAACTTTCTTGGCTTATGCTTCATTTCATTTGCATCTCCATTTGTGCATAGCATCGGTTCTAAATATAGGATCAAGGTATATTTTATTAACCATCAAAAGGAGGATATGTCTCTCAAGGCCCAAAGCAAATGGATGTACTCAATATTGTGGTATTCTCAGCCATCTCACCCAATCATCTGAGGATTAGGGTTCAAGGATTTCAAGAGATTCAGCTGATCAGGCTTTTAGCGACTCTGAACTAGGGTTTTGTGCAATGGTTACTTGTGATTTTTTCTTGATCAAGACAAGTTTATATGGGTCAACATACATCTTAAAGGATCTAAATTAGCCTCATGGTTCATCACAAGTTGTTCAAAGAGTTTATGAAGTGGACAGAGGAGGAATTGAATTCATCTGGTCATAAAGTCAACTGACGCCCTAAAAAACTCAACCCTTGAGTTCTAGGGTTATATTTTGTCATTTCAAGTCATCATACATGGTATTATGAATATTGCTCAAGAGGAATCAGGAGAAATAGTGAAATCAGAAGAAGTTGCTAAATTAGGGTTTTGTGCAGGATTTGTGTTTCTGGGGTTATCTTGCGATATT